AGCGCAGACGGGGACCACAGCGGCCCAGGTAGGCGGCAGGGCGGCCGCGGCCACCGAGGGTGGGGAGGGGTCCCCAGGCCACCATGCTCCCTTTGTTCCGGCCCACCCTCCCAGGCCACCGCGCCAGGTCCTGCGTGTCCCCGGTCGTCCTGTGGTCACCATGGACAGCTCCCGGTCGCCCCACCCCTGCCTGGCCGCCACGCAGTGCGTCGCCCTGGACCCCTTCGGGCCTTGTCCCCTCATCCATGCCCTCTGCGATCTGCCCGCCGAGGCCCAGGTCCCTCACCGCCACCCACAGAGCCCTGCGCCCTCGCGACCAAGCCCCTCTCAGGACTCCTCCTGTCTGGTCAGTCCCTCCTGACTCCCAGGGAGCACCCCCTTTCTTTGAGTCCCTAAAACTGCCCTTTCTCCATCATGGCCCCTCCTCAGTCTGCAGCCCGTAGGTCAGTCACCCCCATTAGTCAGCAACCCCGCCCCCAGACCCTCCCCTGGCCAAGGCTTCTTGCACCTGAGGTGGCTTCAGGGTACCAGGGTGCTGTGCTGCTGTCCTGTGGACAGGACAAGGGGTTTTGGTCAGACTGGCCCAGGCCTGGGGTGACTCAGACAGGGTGGCCAAGCACCTCAGAGCCCCCAGAGCACAACAGCTGAGCCAGGCCCAGCTTTAAGTCCCTCTGAAACGTGCCACCTCCTAGCTCACATGACCTTGAGCAGAGCCCTCTCCCCCGTCCCCAAAGGAGCAAGACCTGGATTGTACAGGACCCTCCTGGTCGGGAAACCGAGACCTCAGTACCTCTTTGGTGGCAATCCCTGCCGGGCACCCGGCCCTCAGTGCCCACCATCAGGAAGGGATGCACCGGGAGGTGCAGACCCCACCTGCATTTGCCACCTTAGATGCCCTCAGGCCAGTGGGGATGGCGTCCCAGAGTCCATTGCTGTAGTTAGCCAGCTCCTCCCAGGCCTTGGGTAGAATCTGGGGACAGTTTGAGTTCCTCTCCAGCTTGAGAAGGTTTTGGGATGTGTCACCAGGGTTCTGTCCTGACATCTGGTGCCTTCGGTAGCCCTGAATGTCCTTTCAGACCCCACGGAGGATTCTTCCTGGAGCCCGGGTCACTGTGACTCTGAGACTCGTCAGAGACTGGGCCCCAGGCACTGTCCCCAGCCATACCCCTGAGTTATCCTCGGTCTGGCTCCAGCTCACAGGAGGGAAACTGAACTCCAAGGACACCGTCACTCCCCTGCTGTCACACTATCCAGGGTCTGACTCTGATGCCGTCCTCGGGACCTCCCCACATGTACACACTGAGGAAGAGAAAAGGGGGTCTTGATGAAGGACAGCCATCGCAGGGACAGGCCTTCCACACGCTGCCCCCCATATTCTTCCTCACCTCTGTACTTCAGGAGTCTCCATGCTGTGCTCTGAGGAAAGACAGGAGAGAAACCCCAAGGAATCCCTGGCTGGGAGTTACGCTAAGCACACAGCGGCCTGAGCAGGGACCGAGGCACAGGCCTAGGGAACAGGAAGTCCCGCTGGGCCTGGGCTGGGAGTTGCCGTGTCCCAGAAGTTGCTTCCAGGGACTCAGGGTCAGGATTTATACATCTGATTCCTGGATGTCAGTGACAGGGCCACTTATGAGGCAGAGAAGCCCTTTCACGTGGCCGTCCCCAGGGCCAGGCCCGAAGCCAATCTTCAGGACATCCAGAGCTGAGGCTCCCACTGTGCTTTTGGGCTTCTTGTTGGTAGAGATGTGAGTTTTCTGGTTCTGATGTTTGTTTGCTTTTGTTGTTTGTTTTTGGTTTTTCGAGACAGGGTTTCTCTGTGTAACAGCCCTGGCTGTCCTGGAACTCGCTCTGTAGATCAGGCTGGGCTCCAACTCAGAGATCCGCCTGCCTCTGCCTCCAGAGTGCTGGGGACTGAGGCCAGACAGCGGTGGTGCACACCTTTAATCTCAGCGCTCGGTCTAAAAGTGTACGCCACCACAATGATGTTAAATTTCTGTTGTTGCTTTTTAGACAGAGTCTCACTCTGTAGCCCAGAAAGTGGCCCAGAATTCACTATCCCCCTGCCTCAGTCTCTCCAGCTCTGGTCTCATCACAGCTGATTTTCACAACGGGATTCTTTTCCTTCATTTTTCTCCTGTGTATGTCTATGCAGCACGTGTGTGCAGTACCTGTAGAAGCCAGAAGAGGCCGTCGGGCCACAGAGGGTTGTGAACTGCCGTGTGGGTGCTGGGAACTGAACTTGGGTTCTCTGCAAGATCAACCAGTACTTTAACCTTCGAATTACCTCTCTAGCACCCCACCTTGAGTTTTTTTGAGACAGGGTCTCTGACATGTAAGGATGGGGCAGGAAGAAGATGAGTGGGTGGTTCTGAGTCGTTTGCACTGGGGCGGGAGCTGGGTGGAAGCCAGGCCTGAAGTGGGACCCTGAGCCTGAACTGAGTGTGAGCGTTTCCTGGTCTCATCAGCACTGTTCCCAAACTCAGAGTCGCCTTGGGACCTCTGGGCCTTGGAGCTGAGGGGTTGGCAGCGAGTCCACTTGGGTGGGATGCAGGAGGGACCGACACCTCCGCGTGGCTGGGACAGAGAGCTATCCTGGGCCCAGGTGGTTTCGCACATCTCACTGTCCCTTCTCCAACAGGGTCGGTCTGGGGTTCTAGCAGCCGGCCCTGTGCGCCCAGCCGGCTTCGGAGATGCCGGAACAGAGCAACGACTACCGTGTGGTTGTGTTCGGTGCAGGCGGCGTGGGCAAGAGCTCGCTGGTACTCCGCTTTGTGAAGGGGACGTTTCGTGATACCTACATCCCCACCATAGAGGACACGTACCGACAGGTGATCAGCTGTGACAAGAGCGTGTGTACACTGCAGATCACGGACACGACCGGCAGCCACCAGTTCCCTGCCATGCAGCGGCTGTCCATCTCCAAGGGCCACGCCTTCATCCTGGTGTTCTCGGTGACCAGCAAGCAATCGCTGGACGAGCTGAGCCCCATCTACAAGCTGATTGTGCAGATCAAGGGCAGCGTGGAGGACATCCCCATTATGTTGGTGGGGAACAAGTGCGACGAGACGCAGCGGGAGGTGCACACCCGCGAGGCGCAGGCCGTGGCCCAGGAGTGGAAGTGCGCCTTCATGGAGACCTCGGCCAAGATGAACTACAACGTGAAGGAGCTGTTCCAGGAGCTGCTGACGCTCGAGACGCGCCGCAGCGTCAGCCTCAGCGTGGACGGCAAGCGCTCCAGCAAGCAGAAGAGGGCTGACCGCATCAAGGGCAAGTGCTCGCTCATGTGAGCCGGCCAGAACCGGCTAGGGCCTCCAGGGCTCCTGCTCCCCTCCCCCTCCCTCTTTCCTTCCCTCCCTTCCTTTCTCCCTCCTTCCCTCCTTCTCTTGCTCCTTCTCTCTATCCCCTTCTCCTCTCCCTCTCCCTCCTCCCCTCTCTCCTGCTCCTCCCCTTCCCCTACTGTTCCTCCCTCCTCCTCCTGCTCCTCCCCTCCCTCTTCCTACTCCTCCCCTTCTTCCTACTTCTCCCTGCCCTTCTTCCGTTCCCCTTGTCCCTCCTCCTCCTCCCTCCTTCTTCCTTCCCTTTCCTCCCATTCCATCCTTCCTCTTACCCTCCCTCCTCTTCTTCCTTCTCGGCCTCTTCCTCCATCTCTCCTGCCCACAGTAGGGTTGAGCTCCATCCCAGTTCCTTCACATCTCCATCCGCTATCAACCCTTGCTGACACCTCCCTCTTTCTCTCTGTCCACACCCCCCCATTCTATCTGTACCCCACATTCCAGCAAGGACCAGAGAGGCTGCCTTGCCTCGTAATCTCTGTTCAGGGGTGTTCCCAGTCACACCCACACCCTGTCCCCCACATTCTATCACTGTGACCTCTTTACTCACGTCTTATTTCCTTCACCTGGTCCTGTCTGTTCCCCGTGACCCCTGACCTGAACCCTGACCTGGGTGCAGAACACACCCAGTTCTCTCCTGCAGCACACCAGGGTGGATGGGCCCACGGGCCGGGCCTCAGGCCACCAGGCAATAAACAGAGCCTGCAGCAATGCCCTGCCAGCCCCAAGCGCCACCCCTGGAGCGGCAGACACCACAGCACAAGCCCAGGACTGTCCTCAGCAGAGGCACATGGGGACCAGAGCCTGGAGTGTGGGGTGGCTGCCTGGACGCTGCCCATTGCCCATCTGGACACTGGCCTTCTACGGAGACAGTAGTGCCTAATGGTGACCCCAAGTTGGGGTTTGGGGTGCTGAGGAAGGGTGCCCAGCTGAGAGCCCATTGGTGAAGCCCCTATGTGGGGCGGTGGGACCAGCTCCTGCTGCCGCAGGGCTCTGATAGACCCTGAGTTCCTTCGCTGGTTGTACATACCCAGAGACTGTCCCCCGTGTGTGCTCTGAGTCCTGAGCCTCTGCGGAATCTGCGAGACTGTCCAGGACACCTGAGTGGCAGTGGCCCCTGGTCCTGTGTCCCACCCATATGAGGGTGACTGTAGAGTCCTATGTTCATGTGACTCTGTGTGTGTGGCGGGTGTGTGTTTGTCTCGGGATGGAGTCGTTTCTGTGCCGTTCTGTGCTCTTAGCGAGAGCACAGTGCGTCCGGTGGTGGGGAGAGCAGCCTGTGTGTGCCTGGGGAGGGTATTCCTGTATGGACCTGTGTTTTCAGGAGTGGGCAATGGTTTATTGACAACCTGTCTGTTCGACCCGTCTGAGGAGCACCAGGTCCTGTTCCAGGTTGTGGCTCAGTCAGCTAGTGTTGTGGAACAAGAGAGACATGTTGGCGCTGGGCCTCAGTGCGTGTGGTCTTTACCTCACAGGGACTGCAGGCCAGGCTGTGGCTGGGACAAGCTGGATCCTCTGTTGTGTGTATGTGTGTGAGAGAGACAGAGAGAGACAGAGGGCCAGAGAGGCAGAAAGACAGCTGCATCCAGATGACAAGGGGGGGCAGACCTCAGTGGGGTCTCTCTGTCTCCTGCACACAGGGCAAATCACAGCCTGAAGCCTGAGTCTGAGTGTAGCTGAGCCCTGATCTCCAGCCAGGCCAGGGCCCCCACAGCCGCCGCCTGTTCCCTAGCCCCGGGAGCAGCTCCTGGCTGGACAGGGGTTCACAGCCCTTTCTCAGGGACACACCCTGATAGCACAATCTCTGGGCCACCCCAGGCCTCTCCTGGCTGGCCTTGCCCATCCTGGGAACAACCAGGCTGGGTGGCAGGGAAGGCGGGAGCCCGCCCTGGCTGCCGGCCAACCTGCCCAGGCATCTCTGGTGCTGGGGACCCGCCAGGCCTCGCTTGCTGTGACCCACCCCTGTCCCCCGCATGTGGGAGCCCCGCCCCGCGTGGGGTCTGTGTACCGTTCGCTGTAGACCTTGTCTTCCGCAATAAACATGTGGATCCTGCCTCCCCTGTGCCCATGGCTTCTGTGCACCACTGGGAAGGGCTGGTGGCGGGGGTGGATATGGCGGATATGGAGGAGATGGGGTGGGTTGTAATGGATGGGGCACCCAAGATCACAAACAAGCTTACTGTGTCAGTGAGAGTAGAGGGTCAGGTGTGGACGCAGCCTCCCGGCCTCCCTGGGTCAAGTCACCCAGCTTTCCTGCCCAGTCTCTGCCCAGGGCAGACTGGGAAAACTCATCTGCTCACTGTGTAGTTGGCACCACTGTATACCTGGGGCTGACCTGGACACCAGTCACGGCCACAGAGCATGCCCAGGCAAGGTGCTCCAGTGCCTTCAGCCAGCTGGAGCCACCGAGTGTGGCTACTCCCACAATCCCTCCCTCTGATCCCGGGAGGCCACATCGGAAGGCACAAAGCCAGGATCAAACAAAGACAGCGGCCTGGAGGGGTAGTTCAGTGGCTAAGAATGGTGACTGCTCCTGCCAAGGATCCAAGGTCAACTCCAAGCAGCCCTTTAACAAATTGGGCTTCCTGAAACTCAGTCGTGGGAGCCTAGAAAAAGAATCTGCTTTTAGTCTAGGATAGAAATCACGAGGTTCTGTCTCCAACATTTGGGGAAAGGGGGGAAGACCCTGCCTCAAAGAAATAGGCAGAAAGTAAAAGGGAAGGACACTGACAACCCCTCACCGGCCTCTGCCATGTGCACATTACATCAGCACATATGCACACACACATGCACACACACGTATATGTAAACACAAAAGCACATACATAGAAACAAAACCCTCAAACAGCACAACAAAAATAGGAACAAAGAAAAAAAGGGCAGGGAGGAGGTCAGGGTGGAGCCCCGCCTAGAATCCCCAGCGAGAGGCTGGGGGCGTGGCCGGAGCGGAGCCCCACCCAGATAGTATGATGCCATAGACGCCATGCTCAGAACTGGAATAAAAGAATGTATTTCTCTTTTGTATGCTTTGTCAAATATGGCTGTACCTCACTAGGTTGCTCAGTGTCCTGGCATTCATGAAGCCCTGGGTGCCATCTTTAGTTCCGAAAAACTGGACATGATGTGGTGTTCACAGGCGCGTGCACACAGACACACACACACACACTGTCATGCACATGAACACAGACACGTGAATGCTGGAGGTGGAGCGGACCAGCCCCTCCAGCTTTGAGTGAATCTGGGGGCAGCAATCGGGAGGCAGAGGCAGGCGAATCTGTGAGTTCGAGGCCAGCCTGGTCTACAGAGCTAGTTCCAGGACAGGCTCCGAAGCCACAGTGAAATCCTGTCTTGAAAAATAAAAACAAAACAACAAAAATAAAAACACACAAGAAAACAAAAAACCTATAGTTTATGTTAGTACTGGCTTGGAACTCACAGTGATCCTGCTGCCTCAGCTTCCTGACCACTAGGAGACAGATGTGCATCGTCATGGCATTCATGGTGATTTGTTTAAACATTTTACCACGTGTGTGCACATGTGTGTGCCGGTCAGACACGGAAGTCCGTGTTCTCCTTCCAACATGTGGGTCCTGGAGCTTGAACTCAGGCTCAGACTTTGCTGTCTGTCCCTCCATGCACTGAGCGTCTTGCCAGTCCTGGTGTAATATTTTGATTTGGCTTTTCGAGAGGTATAATGTTTTGTTGTTGTTGTTCTTTTTGTTTTTCCAGACAGGGTCTCTCTGTGTAGCCCTGACTGTGCTGGAACTCACGCTGTAGCCCAGGCTGGCCTCAAACTCGGAGAGCTGCCTGCCTCTGCCTCCGAGTGCTGGAGTTAGAGGCGTGCGCCACCACCGCCCAGATGAAGGTTTTTAGAGATGACAAGAATCATAGAAACAGGCTGACTTGGTGGCAGCCACACCTTTAATCCCAGCATTTGGCAGAAGACGGAGGGGTGGATCAAACCACCACCCGTCTGTGAGTTTGAGGCCAGCCTGATCCACTACGTAACGAGACACTTTTAAAAAAATAACATAAAACGGGGCTGGAGAGTGGTTAAGAGCACTGGCTGCTTTTCTAGACGACTGGGGCTCCATTCCCAGCACCCAGGCTCAAGGGATCTCATGCTCTTTTCTGACCTCTGTGGGCCTTCTACAACACGGTACACACACACACACACACACACACACACACAGACACACAGACACACACACACTTGTACACATACACAGAGGCAAGACATCAGCACATTATAGAAAAATAAAAACAAAATAAAGTAAATCACGGAGATGGAACAGTGGTGGAGTTCGACCCCTAGGAAAAGTGGGTGTGTCCACGACAATAGCTGTTAGGGCTCTCTCTGGTGGCAGCTTGACGCAGTCCTGCCTTCTGGGTCCACTTAGAAGTGCATGCAAAAAAAAAGTAATTTTTTGTGAATTACATTTTAGAAAATTTATGTGTGTGTGCATGCGCGTACGTGCACGACTATGCACACATGCTCCAGCATGTGTGTGGAAGTCAGACAACTTGTGACAGTCGGTTCTACCCATCCGTCCTATGAGCCATGGGAATTGAACGGGGTCCTCAGGCTTGGTGGGACATGCTTTTCCGGTTGAGCCATCTCACCGGCTTCTCTTAATGCTTTTATTTATTTGTTTATTCATTTATTTATTTTTAATTTATGAATATGTATGTCTGCGTGAGGACGTCGGATCCCCTGGAACTGGAGTTACGGACATTTGTGAGCTGTGGGTCAGGGAGATAAACCCCGGGACCTTCTGGAAGAGCAGCCAGTGCTTGCAATCTCTGAACAATCTCTCCAGCATTAGTTTTTGAAACAGGGTCTCCTGCAGCTTGTTTCAATGGCTTCAAATTCACTATGTAGCTCAACCCGACCTCAAACCTGGGGCAATCCTCATTCCTCATTCTTCTACGTGTTGAAACATTAGGTGAGAGTCATCAAGCCCAACTCTGCATCTAAACACTTTGAAGACTGTGTTGTTCCCCCATCACCTGATGGGCCACAAACAGGTGAGTTCTACAGTGGTTCCTGCT